ACTGCGGCATGGTATCTCAGTGGGTTAGCACTATGAATTGGCATCAGTCCGAACACGTACAAGTAGCCACACACACACGCGCGTGCCATCTTCCCGAGGCAAGAGAGTTAACTGACTATAAAAGTCCAGTTTCCACCCTTGCCGAACTAGGCTAGTATTATGGAGTTACAATTTGGCTGGACTAACGAGTCTGTGCATAGTCCAATCAAATTCGCGCACCGAAATCGAAATCCGGTTCGTAAACTGTCATGCAGATTTTGGTCGATTGCAGGATTTGCAAAACATGTGCACCTCCAACTCGTCGTCAACAGATATTTTCCAAATCTTTTCATGTTTTTAATCAAGGTGCTCAGGTGATTTGATGCATTTCGCGATGTAAGACCCGTTTTATCACAATATAGATCTTGATTATCGATCAGATCGTCTTGACTGGGCGCCACCATTTTTTTTGTGAAGCAAACGCAAGTGATACGGGAGGTGGAATCTGATTGGTCAATAGGAGAGGCTTAGAAGGGACATAACTGGTAATAGCCATTGGTGGCGCTACGATCGAGTCCAGTAATTCCAACAAAGTTCGGCAAGGGTGGAAACTGGACTTTTATAGTCAGTTAACTCATTTCTCTCGGGAAGATGCCCGTGTGCATGCACGTCGCTATATAAGTGCAATAATCTTGGACGCGACGTTAACCCCATTTCACCTCACCTACAAGACCTTGTTGATGGACTCCTAGAAACACGTTTGTTGTTAACCTACGGCACTCGTGATACTTTCATTCCACACTGTATTTCTTAACTTTATGACTTCCCATTCTGTGTTTCCCCTTGCTCAGGGTGTTTAGTAGACAAATTTGCTGCCGCAGCCTATTCCCCCGGTTATACTCTTAACGTTCAGTTGTCTAGCATTCAGCATCCTTGACCACTGTTACTGGGGCTCAGTTCACGGGTCCGGGGTTTTGCAAATACGGAATCGGCTATTCTCATTTGCATATTTGTTCCTACAGAGTAAACGGCAGTGGAGCCATGCAGTGGATAATCATGAAACGACAGGACCCGACTCTGCACCTTTGCGCTTTAAGTTTCTCGTGTTGTAACGTTATTGCGAACACAGGTCTCATTGTCGAAACACGTAATCAGCAATTTGATCAGTAATCCGGCTCCAGGGTATTTTTGGTTTGTTTGCTGTTTAATATTGTCCGCCATATTCCAGCTATCCCACGGCGCCATGTAAATAATCTGGCAACGAGCGTGCCACTTACACGTCGTCGGGATCTGTTGTAGCCCAGAATCACTTCGGGTCCCCTTCTAATTGAGTTAGGGAGTATTGTTTTACGCCGCTTTTGGAAATATTCCAGCAATATCACGCCTTGGGGCATCAGAAATAGGCTTCGCACGTTGTACCCATTTAGGAATTTGAACCCAGGTCTTCTCCGTGACGAACAAACACTTTTACCACTCGGCTACCCCACCGCCCCTGTTGTGAGTGAAGGGGTCACGCATTGAGACAGAGCGAATGATGCCCCACTCAGCAGTGTTAGAGCTGTATCAGGCCTAATAATAATTGACTGATTGACTGAAAAATGTAGCTAGCCACTGAAAACTGGAATACGTGCCTTTGTGTTTTTTCACAGTACTCTTGATCCGTCAAAATCCGGGGTAGACTAGATCTTCAGCAACCCATGCTTGCCGTAAAAGGCGACTATGCTTGTCGTAAGGGCGACTAACGGGATCAGGTGGTCAGGCTCGCTGACTTGGTTGATGCATGTTTCGTGGATCAGTGCTCAGGATGTCAATCATTGGATTGTCTGGTCCAGACTCGATTATTTACAGACCGCCGTCATATAGCTGGAATACTGCTGAGTGCGGCGATAAACAACAAACAAACACAGTATTCTTCTTAGCGTACTTCACTAATCTCCTTTCATCGTCTAGTTATTATATTGTTCTTTTCGAGGAGGGGTAATGTAGGATGGCGGAGAGACTGAGGGAGACTGACACGTCCCTGTGTCATTGTTTCGGCCAAAACAAGTTGTGTGTTTAAGTTTATAAAGCATATCAACACATCAAAGTTATGTTTAGAGGTGACCTGTCAAATGTATTTAGCATTGCAGTAATATCAGTAACTGTTTAAAACTGTCGCAAGCCCCAGCAAGCACTTCTGGACAAGCTTGCAGGCATCACGGTGACTTACACTACCTCGTCTTCTACAAGAGTCAACCGTCTAGTTGTAGAGCGTCCATGCACCCGGAGAGCGAAAGGTCCGGGGTTCGATCCCCGGCCGCGTCATACCAAAAGACGTTAAAATATGTTACTTGTTGTTACCCTGTCTGGCTCTCGGCATTAAGGGGCTAAAACAAGGACTGGTCGTCTCGGAGTCAGTATACTGTGTCTGAGTCGGGTATTCATGTTAAACTGCGGCATGGTATCTCAGTTGGCTAGCACAATACATCGGCATCAGTCCGGACCAGTACAATCAGCCACACACACACACACACATACATACACGTCGCTATATAAGTGCAACAATCTTGGACACGACATTAAACCCAATACCACTTCACCTCCTGCAAGAGCCACCAGCAGGAATTACGTTATCACTTAAGATACCTATGATTCATACGTTGAGAGCTATTTTTAAATTCTTTTCTGCTCTTCCACATATGTGGTCGACTTTACTTTTTTTCCATAAGTCTTCTCATAACACCAGGTTGTATGAGTTGATGTTTTAATTTTAAAATGATTTCGTTAATATTACTGTGTTACAAAGGTGGTGGTGGGGATCGTGCGTTGACTCATCGGGGGTCCATATGTAATTTTCAAAGGGAACGAGGGGAGGGTGGTCAAATATTCAGGTGCTTGATAGTTCGAATCAGTGTGACAAATCTCAAAATGAAGGACTCGGCGTCGGAGACCATCCTATTCGCGAGCGATGGAAGGGGGATAACTCTAATTTTCGTCAACAGCTTGATGAATTCTTTGATGGCGAATGCCTAAAAGAAACAGTGAGCGTATTATACAATTACAGACAGCCAAAAACTAAAATATTTTTAAATACCAGTCCAGTAACTGAGAACATAACAAACGGCGTCATGATGTAAGATGAATATACTCTTCAAACTGTCCCTTTCTTTTAAACCTAGTGTTATTATTAATATATTATTTTTGCTGCTGGAGAAAGATATTGTTAATACAATAAACATTGTAACAAGGATTTGATAATGAAATACATATATTGTATCATCGCTTCTATGTTTTATGATTCCATTACTATGCTCATGTTTTGTGCTATAACGGACATGTTTACTGTTTTGTCTTTCATTACCAAACATCATGTTATGTATGTTCAATGATGCCCGTATTTTGCCTCAGACCTGTCCAGGCCAACACGTCTGAACTTGTCGTTTTTGATAAATCCAATGAAATCATATATATCACAGAAATTTCCGTCCCTTTTGGAACCGTGAAGATCCGGGGTAGAATAGGTCTTCAGCAACCCATGCTCGCCGTAAAAGGTGACTATGTTTGTCTGAAAAGCGACTAACGGGATCGGGTGGTCATGCTCGCTGACATGGTTGATGAATGTCATTGATCCCAATTGCGTGAATAGATGCTCATGATATAAATCACTGGAATGTCTGGTCCAGACTCGATTATTTACAGACCGCCGTCATGTAGCTGGAATATTGCTGAGTGCGGCGTTAAACAACAAACAAACCAACAACTAGCCGTCCCCTTTGACACTAATGTGATTGACAAGATTCAGGAAAAACATGGCAAATATGCGGACTTTGTTTTCGAAATGTCACGCTTGCATCCCAAGTACCAAGTTGTCCGACTCTGCTTGGTGTCTTAGCTAGGTTTAGTACCTCCCAATCTGTTGATTAACATTGGGAGAGTACCCGGGTTTGATGCCAGGAATACAGCCCTTCTGACAATCTGGGTAATGCAGAAGGCTGCAGTTTTGGAGAGTCTTCACATTCTCCGAAAAGTTCTGAATGGGTTTGAGTGAGTGAGAGAGTGAGTATTGTTTTACGCCGCTTTAAGCAATATTCCAGCAATATCACGGCGGTGAAGAAATGGGCTTCACACATTGTACCTATGTCGGGAATCGAACCCGGGTCTTCGGCGTGACGAGTGAGCGCTTTTAACCACAAGGCTACCCCACCGCCTCCAGTTTCTTAACAGGTGAGCATATAGTGACTCAGTGTAATCTGGGATCCCTTCGGGATCCTCTTTTTGCGCCGACGTAGAAGTTAATGATGTGGATATTATATTAAACCAACAGATATTCCAGTTAACTCATTGGCACGTTTAATATTTTTAGTGAAAATGGGCGTTGTAAATGTTGTAAATGTACGTTTTGGATATGATTTCTTTCTCAATGTCTGTTTGCAAGTAAAATATTTCACTTATGTGAGTTACTGTTATGCGATTTTTAGTGGAGAAATCATATTGAATTTTGTCATTCAGAAAGTTTCATTTCTTCTTCTACAAAACTGAAAATCAAAAAAATTATGGGAGTTCGCAAAAAAACTTATGTTAAATACATACGTGCTTAAATATGTCTCTGTAGTTTGATCAATTTCACAACGTCAAATAGAAAACAAGAAGGGCTAGATCTAGAAAGACTGTGTGGGATATTTAGTGGTATATGGATGTCCCAGCGACTTTATTATCTCCCTTGTTGTGTAAAACTAAAATCTGTCATATGTTTGTTAAACTTTGTAGCATAATTATCATAAGCATTTTGACATATATAGACACTATATTTAATTTGTCGGTGGTGTTTCAATATAATTTCGTTAAAATCAATTTTCAAATGTATGGCAGAATAACATTCAAGATGTAATGATGACACTATTATTTACTTCGTTTCGTAACCATACTCTTCCTTTTGTAAATCAGATAAACTGGTTTTCATGTTGTGAAGCGCATCCCAATGAAAATGTATTTTTACATTCTTGTGTAGACAGGACCACAGTCTTTCAATCAGTCGGTCTTGCATCAGGCACATGTAGGTAAGCTTTGGTAAAATCTGTTAGAGGTTTGGTAGGATTGTTTCTTTGAAATTCCAAGGAGAAGTGTATGTTTTATATTCTATGTGTCATTCAGGAGAATCGCACAAATTGGATCGGTCAGTTAATACGTACTTCTTATGAAAACGTAGCTTTTAGTTTTAACCTCATTCCGGATTGTACTTTTTCATGTCGAATCACAGATCACACACTATGGATCGCAATTTATTCTTTAATCATAGCCCGACCCTTTAGCCTACAACGTGTACAAGTGGAGTGAATATTCAGAAATAGCGATTAACATGATAACGGTATTGAACGAAATGAAAATGAAATTGAAGCTCATATAGCCAACTCACACTCCGCTATCTAGATCGAGCCTGGGCCAAATGTTTATTTGTGAAATCACCAATAAACGGACATTATTTGTTGAAATGCTGAAAATTCAGGTTTGTCAGACACTCTCAATAGCTACACTGTTGAATGTATGTTTGTGATTCCTGCGTCAGAAATAGTTTAATTCAAACTCAAATGTCAAACCAATCTCGAAGCATTGCCCAATTCTGAACAGGTTGTCATCATGGTCATAGGAAATGTGTGATTCAACATCTGCTTTGTCTCCTAACTCGTCTTTTAGGATGTAAATCTATCAAACAGTTAATAGGTACCCTAAATAAGGACAGACTAGTTATGCAGATTGAAATTATGTCTGCACCTAGACTGGACTTCATATTGATTTTAAACTGGTTGACAGTATTTTATTTCACGGCATTGATATAAACATGATTTGAATATAGTTGATCATCATGATCATGTTTATTTTAATGACAGGAGGGTATTGATACAGAGCTTTCCAAGATGTTTGGGTCTGTCCTTAATCATACCTATGCATACAAATCAAAATACTGTATTTATTCCATTCACAGGACCATGTAACTATTACTACTTATAATAAACAAACTCACAAAAACTCGTAGACGAGACCTTTGGCCTTGTCTGCAGGTTTTGTTTGTTATCATTAGTAGCTACATGGTCCTGTGCTCCATTAGACACCGGAACTCCAATACACATGGGCCTGTTATTGACGCCAGGTCATATTCTCTGTCCAAAACTATAGAAGCAGGGCCTTTATTAGACGCTGGGTCTCTAATACTGTGATATGTTCTTGATTTATTTTGAGTGACCATTTCCTGCAAGTCTACCCCTTACACGAGTGTATAATTTGGGATTCGGTAAGGTAGTCACTTGACACTGTGTTGGTATTAGTCCATGTTAGTCAGAATAGGCACCAGGTCTCTAATACACTCTGGCCTCTAATAGAAGCCGGGTCAAAAGCTTGGGCAAAAGTAATAGTCGCCCCGGTGTCTAATTGAGGAAGTATGAAATATGGTAAATGAATGCAAGGGACACAGGTGGCCCAGTTGTCTATGGTGTCGCAATTCGCTGTGCACTGTTGCATCCTTTAGGCACGCCAGAAACCTATGATTGTAGATTCAAATCCCTCTTCGCCCTGTTTTTGTTTCTAGGTTTGTCTGCACCATACCCGTGCTTGTGGGTTTCTCCAAAGTGGTCAAGTCTAAGACCTGCATCACTTCTGGCTTTCCTCCCACATCAAGCTGACATGCCGTGATATAACTGGAATACTGTTCAAATCGGCGTGAAACCCAACTCACTCACTCACACACATGAATGCAATTAAGGTGTCTGATGCATAAACACTGATGAATGATAAGATTCTTTATCATATTATAGCTTAAGAAATGTGTGTGTTTTGACTGCCTTGTACTAGTTTAATATGTTTATTCCAATGACAAGTTTTCTCAGGTAAACATGGTAAATATCCTTGAATCTTGGTAACAATAAACCCATGGACATGTTGAATATTTACCATGTGTTTACTATTGTACAATTTAACATTTTCTTTCAGAGTTGGATAAACAGCCAAGATGGTACTGTCATGTCGATTTTACAAGAACAGATTCCCCGAAGTGGAGGATGTCGTTATGGTAAATGTGCGCTCCATAGCCGAGATGGGGGCTTATGTGCACCTGCTAGAGTATAACAACATTGAGGGCATGATTCTGCTCAGTGAGCTGTCCAGGAGACGTATCCGTTCCATCAACAAACTCATCCGCGTGGGGCGCAGTGAATGTGTCGTGGTTATCAGAGTTGACAAAGACAAAGGTTTGATTTCTCTCTCTTGTCAATATTCCATAATTCTATCAAAGAATTTGGATTGTCTTTTACAGTCTAAGGTTATAAAAGAACACATTCAAATGTACACATTCGAGAATAAAATTTAATACTAGAACAATATTTCTATGCTTCAGTTGGATATAAAGTTAGGTTAACTATACATCATGTACAATGGTTGTTTGGTGCACATGCTAATAAGGCTGAAGAAGTCATCTTGTTTGGATATGCACCAAGTTTTGTATTACTATTAATACTAAACATGCTTAACCCTGAGCCAAATAGTAACATTACCAATATTCCAATGTAGAATGTAGAATTCATATCTTGTATGTTTCAATCACATGTTCAACAGCTGGTTAAATATTTTGGCATCATTTGAGTTCAAAATTTTATAGAAAAGCTTGAAAATTATGAAGATTAGTGCATTGGTTGATAAAAAAGTCAAATTGCACTATTTGTCTGCAATTCTGCGATAAGTTACATTTTCTGCCATTCTTTCCACAACTGCAGAATTCATATGGGCCTGGTTTGTTGTTTAACACCAATATTCCAGCAATATCTCTGCGGGGACACCAGAAATGGGCTTCACACATTGTACCAATATCTGGAATAGAACCTGGGTCTTTTGCGTGACGAGTGAATGCTTTAACCACTAGGCTAACCGACCGCCCTTAATTCTTATAGAGGGAAGGAGGCAGGAGCGTTAACTGACTATAAAAGTCCAGTTCCCACCCTTGCCGAAGTAGGCTGGTATTCCGGAGTTACATTTTGGCTGGACTGACAAGTCTTTGCATGGTCCAATCACAACAGCGTGCAGATTTCGGTTGGATGCAAGATCTGCAAAGCAACGTGTGCAGCCAATTAGGCGTCAACTGATATTTTACAAATCTTTTTATGTTCTTAATCAAGAAGCTTAAGTGATTTGATGCACTTTGCGACATAAGATCCGTTTTATTACAATAAGATCTTGATTATCAATCAAATCGTTTTGACTTGGCACCACCATTTTGTTTGAAGCAAATGCCAGTAATATGAGTGATGGAATCTGATTGGTTAGTAGGAGGGACATAGAAGGGACATAACTCGAAATATCTACTGGTGGTGCCACGATCAAGGCAAGAGATTCCAGCCTAGTTCGGCAAGGGTGGGAAGTGGACTTTTGTAGTCAGTAAACTCCCTTGCCTCGGGAAGATGGGATTGAGCTTGATCATGTTGATGCTTTATTGCCTTACTCAGTTGACTGAAGCACCCCATAAATATCTTAGAGGGAATACTGTTTGATGTTAACATCTTCCTCAGGAGTAGGATAACATCTTATTTCATTTTAAAAAATCGGCTGATCATTGTTGTGTGTTTTATGTTAAAATAGTGGAGTCTAGATCTGTTAAGTATGGTTATGGTATACGTTACGATTCAATCCCATGACAAATGGACCAGTCCCCCGAAGATTCCGGGGTAGAATAGGTCTTCAGCGAACCATGCTTTTCGTAAGAGGCGACTAACGGGATCGAATGGTCAGGCTCCCTGACTTGGTTGATGCATGTCATCATGTCCCAATTACGTGGATCAATGTTCATGATGTCAATCACTGGATTGCCTTGTCAAACCTTGATAATTTAAAGAAAGCCGTCATATAGCTGGAATATTGCGTGTGGCGTTAAACAACAAACAAACAAACAATTGACCATGCTCTCCATCTCATCTCACAACCTGAATATTCATTTTATTTCTTGCAATATTGCCCACCTTGAAACAATACTCAAGTTACTTATGATATTATGATGATTATTCATGATGACTTACAATGTTTTTGTAATTTTGTTTACCACGTAATTGTTACGTCACTATTATAATATAAAGTCATAAATTTGCATGTTTTTTTTCTCTAAATATATTGATTAGGAATCATATGTGGACTTAAACCTTTTTTTGTCAACAGGGTATATCGACTTGTCCAAAAGAAGAGTTTCCCCCGAGGAGGTAGTTAAGTGTGAGGAGAAGTTTGCCAAGGCCAAGGCTGTAAGTCTCTCGACATCACTTCCAGCTGTAACACCTCTGTGAATTAATGCCTTAGACATAATCGCCCATTGAAGATACAGGGATAGATGTAACAACAAATTTGTATCTATGTGACTGGCCCTTCTCCAACTAACTGGCCTACAACTAAACGGTGGAGGCTGCGAAGTCCGGGGTTCGATCCCAAGAGACGTTAAAAGATGGTACTTGTTGTTACCATGTCTGGCGCTCAGCATTAAGGGGCTAAAACAAGGACTGGTCGGCTCGGAGTCAGTATACTGTGTCTGAATGGGGTATTCATGTTAAACTGCGGCATGGCATCTCAGTGAGCTAGCACTATAAATCTGCATCAGTCCGGACTAGTACAAGCAGCCACACAAACAGACAAACGTACATGCATGTCGCTATACAAGTGCAATAATCTTGGACACGACGTTAAACCCCATTTCACCTCACCTCACATAACCGCCTAGTAGGGCTCTGACAATGTTAGAACTCCTCACTCCTGAAACATTTTTTCCTGCACTCTTGAGATTAAATCTAGGCTTACATTTGCCACATTTCATGGTGATTTATGTGCAAGTAAAGAAGTTGTTGTATACAACTTTACAAAATGGCAGCCGGTTGTCATTCTACGGAAATGATCCAATTAAAAAACATTCATGGAGAAGGGGTGAAATTTTGACTATCCAGACAGGCCATCTACTTTACATTTCAGCAAGCCCTTTGTAATTGTAACTTGCCACGGGCCAACCAGCTAGCAGTTAAATCCATCCCTGAGATACCTCTGTGACTACTAAACATACAGCTGTAGCACACACAGTGTAATAACATCACATGCAGACTCGACTATTTTTGGTGATCCGCAGGTCATTCAAGTGTTTGCATCGGTAGCACTTTGCAATAGATATCAACATGGTCAATCGGAAATTTCAGTAGAATATCCCTCTAGCTGTAGTTCAACAGAGTGTTCGGATGTCAAACGCTGTGATTTATCTGACTGTGATCGTGTCTTGATCACATGGATTGTTGCTCATACGGTCAGCCACATGTTTGTGGTCAAGACCTCAGTATTTAGAGGTCCTGGACCCACTTGCACAAAGCGATCTTAGCGCTACGACTATTGTAAGCCTATGTTAAAGAATGGGAGTTACGATCATCTTAGTGCTAAGATCGCTTTGTGCAAGTGGGCCCTGGTGTTAGCAATACAGCTTGATGTGTTGTCAGTCTCATTATAATCGGGTCTTAGGTCTTGCTATAAGGATCTAAGGACATCCCATCACAGGTCACCTGAGACCGACCTTTTATTCACTTTGACCAACCAATGGAATGACCAACAAGAAGTCAACATTAGCCAATCAGAAGGCAGTTTTTTTTGTGCTTTACAGCACAAATTGGCGACGATGCTTTGAAACATATTTTGACAATTTCTCAATTAAAAATTTGAAAACTGAACAGAAGAACATTCTGGAATGGCTAAGAGATGGCCTAGTTTGTATGGACTCAGTCATAAAGCCTGTAACTGTCGTTAAATATTTCGAGGTTGCATGATTAGAAAACACATTCTGTCTGTAACTTTCCTGATGTGGTAAGCGAAGCTCTGATCGGTCAGATGAAAGGTTGTTATGACGTGACCTGTAATGTGATCTTTATTTAGTGTTAGCGAGAACTATGATCTGATTTTAATGAGATTGGATATGTTGCTGTAAAGAGTATTCACTTACCTACATGCTGGCTAAGCAGTGCTTGATTGCCTTTGTTTGGCTGCTATAGGTAAACAGCATACTGCGACACGTGGCGGAGATCCTTGGCTACACGACAGATGAACAGTTTGAGGATCTGTACACAAAAACTGCGTGGGCCTTCGACGACAAGTATAAGAAACCTGGTACTTCATACGAAATCTTCAAACATGCTGTTACGTAAGTTCTATGGTTTTATGTCAATTGAAACCACCCAATACGTCATTAAGACTTCGTGTTACAACTGCAGTAATGGATCAGTTAAAACTAGTTTGCATTGTCCATGTCCTCATAGTCTCATTGGCCTGTATAATGGATGTTCTGTAAACATTGGAAATCAGGTAATTGATGCCTCGCCAGATCAATGCATGTTGAGTGGAGTGAGTATGGTTTTATGCTGCTTTTAGCAATATTCCAGCAATATCACGGCGGGGAACACCAGAAATGGGCTTTACACATTGTACCCATGTCAGGAATCAAACCCGGGTCTTCGGCGTGACGAGCGAACGCTTTAACCACTAGGCTTCCCGACCTCCCCCAATGCATGTTGCAGCAAATTGTCTAAAATTCATCATAAGATTATGCCACTAGCCCAAACTTTGAAATTTAGACATAGCAGCTCCTAAATCAGCCCTGAAGATCCGGGGTAGAATAGGTCTTCAGCAACCCATTCAGCAGCCAAGGATGTAAATGTGTTTCTTTTATAGAACAAACTTTTAAAGAACACACACAGTTTCAACACAATCTTAAAAATTCTTAAAAGTTATAAATTCTCCAGTATATCCCTCGCATAGCCATTGCCCGAGGTAGAAAAGGTCTTCAGCAACCCATGCTTACCGTAAAAGGCGACTACCGGGATGCTTGTCGTAAGGGGTGACTAACGGGATCGGGTGGTTAGGCGCACTGATCTGGTTGCGATGCATGTCACCGTATCCCAATTGCGTGGATCGATGCTCATTATGTCAATCACTGAATTGTCTGGTCCAGACTCGATTATTTACAGACCGCCGTCATATAGGTGGAATATTGCTGAGTGTCGGCGTTAAACAACAAACAAACAAACAAACAACACCACCATGACTGTAAACTCAGAATATCCTGATATGGTATGGGGTATTAGCAGTGTAGGTTGGTTCTCGTACAAACTCAGCTTGTCCTGCTTGTCATGTGATCTTTGTTTTGTGAGATATCCGTCAGTGAGGTGAAGTGGATTCTTGTCAATGTTTCTGGCATGTGCAGTATGACATGACACTCAATTCCAGTATGTCATTACATTCATGCTTTTATTTATTTTTATGGCGTACAGTATTTGGAATTGTTAATAAATCATATCTTTCACAATGTGGACAAAACATTCATGGTTGATCATAGAAAGGGAAGTAACTCTTTCGTTATTTCCTGACAAGAGGGGCGGTTGGGTAGCCTGGTGGTTAAAGCGTTCGTTCGTCATGCCAAAGACCCGGGTTCGATTCCCAACATTGGTACAATGTGTGAAGCCCATTTCTGGTGTCCCCCGCAGTGATATTGCTGGAATATTGCTAAAAGCGGCGTAAAACCGTACTCACTCACTCACTCATTTCCTGGGAAGACCTTCCAAACTTGATAGATAATCTATAGGACCAGGGTGCAAGCTGATGAATCAGTCAATTACCCAATCAGACGTAAGGTTGTTGTGGGGAACATATTGACAGAACATGATGTGTGTGGTTTCAGGAACCCAGAGGTGTTGGATGAGTGTAACATCGATGATGAGACGAAGGATGTGCTGCTCCAGAACATCAAACGTCGACTGACACCACAGGCAGTGAAGATCAGGGCGGGTAACTAGCACACTTTCACATGTCCTAAATTCCCTGCCCTCCATTATATAACCCTTAATGATGGGATTTAAATGACTGCTCAGAAATTGGTGGTTTCCGTCTGTTGGATGACCAGTCAGGCGTATGTGGCAGCACACCCAGGTTTTGACAAGCCTCAGTAGACACATAACAAACTTTCCATGTTATTGTGTCTGTAAGTAATCTTGTGTGCCCCGTGTGATTATGCTGAACTTTTGGTTATCTGATGAATGTATCCATAATAACCATTCTGACGTCATGCGTTACACTTTGTTTTCAGATATTGAAGTTGCGTGTACAAATTATGAAGGCGTTGATGCCGTGAAACGAGCACTGAAGAAAGGATTGGAGTTGTCAACAGAGAATCTGCCAATCAAAGTAAAATATGCCTTTCTCCCTATAGATCAGAACCTGCCCGCTGTTATACCCCAGTAGATCATCCCATATACCATGCCCTCTGTTATATCCTATTTGATCAACCTATATACCTTGCCCCTCTGTTATGTTCCATTAGATCAGCCCATATACTCTGCCCTCTCTATATCCTAGTAGATCAACCCATATACCCTGCCCTCTGTTATATCCTAGTAGATCAAATCAACCATATACCATGCCTTCTGTTATGTTCTATTTGATCATCCCAATTTCCTTGCCCTCTGTTATATCCCAGTAGATATGCCTATATACCCTGGCTTATGGTTATATCCTATTAGTCCTAAACCATATACCCTGCCCTCTGTTATGTCCTATAAGATCAGCCCATATTCTCTGCCCTCTGTTATGTTCCTTTAGATCAGCCCATATACCCTGCCATCTGTTATGTCCTATAAGATCAGCCCATATACTCTGCCCTGACAAACTCCGTGGTCTGGTTGTAGAGGTTCGGAAAGTCTGGGGTTCGATCTCCACCCACGTCATACCAAAAGACGATAAAAGATAGTAGTTGTCACCTTGCCCAGCCCTCGGCATTAAGGGGATAAAACAAGAAATGATCGACTAGGAGTCAGTGTACTGTGTGTTAAACCGTGGCATGGTATATCAGTGGGCTAGCACTATAATATTGATAATAGTCCGGACAAGGACATGCACGCATGCTATTTAGAAGTGAAATAATCTTGGACGTTGTTAAACTCCATTCCATCTCACATATTCCCTACCTCCGGTTATATCCCATTAGATCAGCCCATATACCATGCCCCCTGTTATATTCCAGTCAATCAATCCATGTAGCCTGTCCTCTGTTTTATCCTAGTCAACAAACCCAATGCCCTACCCTCTTATATCCTAGTAAATCATCCAATATAGCCTTCCCTGTATCATATCCTCAGGTTGGCTTCCTCCTCATACTGTTTACATTCTCAACCAAATCTTGCTAGTCGTGTTTTATCCTTAACAAATCATCCAATGTGGCCTGCCCTGTTATGTCCCAGTAGATCCAACCTAATGTCCTGTCCTCTGTTACAGATCAACCTGATTGCCCCTCCACTGTATGTGATAACGACCCAGACCCTGGAGCGCACCGAGGGGCTGGCCAAGCTGAACCAGGCAGTAGCTATGATCAAGGAGAGCATAGAGGAGGCAGGAGGGGCCTTCAACATCCAGCAGCAGGTGCGTGGTGCAATCGGGTGCAATCAGCCCCCCGATAGCAGGATGGCTAGCCTGAATGGCTATGTGATTTATTTTGTTTGTTTGTTTGTTGTTAACGCTGCACTCAGCAATATTCCAGCTATATGATGGCGGTGTGTAAATAATCGAGTCTGGACCAGACAATCCCCTGATTGACATCATGAGTATCGATCCACGCAATTGGGATAGGGTGACATGCATCAACCAAGTCAGCGAGCCTGACCACCCAATCCCGTTAGGCGCCCCTTACCACAAGCATGGTCGCCTTTTACGGCAAGCATGGGTCGCTGAAGACCTATTCTACCTCGGGGAATGGCTATGTGAGGGATATGCTGGAGAATTTGGCCATCATCATATTCTAACTTAAGATTGAGTTGAAACTGTGTGTGTTCTTTAAAAGTTTGTTCAATAAAAGAAACACATTTACATCCTTGGCTACTGAATGGCCATGTTCTAAGTGTCTCACAGTTAAATGAATAACATTTGTGAACTGACAGTTGATTGACTGATTTTTGATGATTTATGTCCAACATCTTCAGTATGCAAAATATCAAATACAATGACCCTTGTTCCTATAAAGGGACATAACTCCATATCCACGATTTGTTAATGTTAATAATTACTGATACAAGTCAGGTGACTATACATGTTGTAAGAGGCGACCAACAGGATCAGGCAATCTGACTTGGTCGATGCATGTCATCTTATCACATTTACATGGATTGTGGCTCATGTAGTCAATCACTAGATTGCCTGGTCCAGACTTGATTAATTACAGATTGCCGTCATTTTGCTGGAATATTGCTGAGTGCATGTTAAACAACAAACAAACAATAATGTTAATAAATTTTCATCTGCTAATTTGTTTGTCTGTAAATTTCTCAGGGCTGTGTAGAAGAACAGCAGGAGTTAACTGAGCTATATGAGGTCTTTGAAAGGCATTTAGAAGTGATTCACATAAGGAAGAGATTATATGGATGTCAACTTCTTTATTATGAGGAACATATCGTTTCGGAGTATATGCTTTCTCCTTCATCAGGTGAAATTGACATCCATATATTCTCTTCCTTATGAGATATATGAGACTAGAAAGATTTTGATTCATCATCTGCATGTTATGATTCAGGCCCGTGTGGTGTCCGACATTGATGAGATCGAGCTGGCCAAACAGCTGGAGCGCCTGGAGGAAGAGAACCGTGAGGTTGATGGTGATGCTGATGATGATGACGAGGAGGAGTATGGGATGGTGATGCCCGACGACAAACTCGAGGGCGTTGACATTGTTAAAGAAGACTAGGAGAAGTGTGGAGGGGAGTGCCTGTATCATCAACTTAACTCTTGACAAATCAGTCTTCTACTCATTGTCCCAACAACAATTGTTGACATCACAATTGTCTGATGCAAACATATGTTTGTGCTTTCCCAAACACTGAATCATTATTTGTATCGATTAGGACTGCCCTGGCGCCGGTTCTGTGACAGATGTCATCAACTTTGTGTACTGAGTTTTTCAGACCACCAGGAACCAGGCACAGATGCCTGATGTGGAGGAAATCATCATCTGCATACAGCAACATGTATATTGTATTCTACAAGAGGTCATTAAATTTCAATGTGTATAAACTAAGCTTTGTGTTCTTGTATATGTTGTCCTTGGTAAAGGTGACTGACTCTGTGGTCTAGTGGATAGAGGGTCTGCCTTGAATGCAGCTCTATACAGCTGGCATTAGTCCAGCTTCCCGAGGCAAGAGAGTTAACTGACTATAAAAGTCCAGTTTCCACCCTTGCCAAAATAGGCTGGTATTATGGAGTTACATTTTGGCTGGACTAACGAGTCTTTGCATAGTCCAATCAAAAAGCGCAAAATCAAAATCCGGTTCGTAAACTGTCATGCAGTTTTCTGTCGATTGCAGGATTTGCAAAGCATGTGCACCTCCAACTCGTCAACAGATATTTTCCAAATCTTTTCATGTTTTTAATCAAGGTGCTCAGGTGATTTGATGCTTTTCGCGGTGTAAGACCCATTTTATCATAATAAAGATCTTGATTATCGATCAGATCGTTTTGACTGGGTGCCACCATGTTGTTTGAAGCAAAAGCAAGTGATACGAGAGGTAGAATCTGATTGGTCTATAGGAGTGGCTTAGAAGGGACATAACTCATAATAGCCACTGGTGACGCTACCATCGAGCCCAGTAATTCCAGCCTAGTTTGGCAAGGGTGGAAGCTGGACTTTTAAAGTCAGTTAACTCTCTTGCCTCGGGAAGATGGCATTAGTCCGGACTAGTACCAGCAGCCACCTTCCATCAAAGTACAGTAATCTTGAATGTGGCGTTAAAACCCACCTCACCTCACATAGGGTAAAGTTTTAAGAAGTATGGCAATCACTGGGCAGAGTTGTCTCTTAGACATACCAGAATACTATGATTGTGAGTTTGAGTACCATATTCTCTCATATGGCAAAGACCCGTTTTTCACCTCTAAACCCTGCTGTTGAGTTTCACAAAATTGGTAACAGCTGACACCAGGATCATTTGGAGTTTTGCCAACATACTTTAAGATGACAGGCACTGCTATAACTAATGATATGTTCAAAGTGGTGTTGAGGGCCACTCTACTCACTCACCCGTCCACCCACTCACACTGATATAAATACATACTTTTATGGACTAGTGCTGATATCAAAAGTGCTGGTAATTAAATTATAGACAAACCAATACCACAAGTATGTCACATAATAGAATTATTATAGGCCATATTTATTGGGCATATTTCCACACCACATGGACATGCGCAAAGAGCTATTATTTCCATGGTCACTGGATCAGAGTGCACTCAACAGCAATTCTCAGCTCCCTGGGGAGTAAATAGCCCAAGCTGCCCGTTAGGCGCTAGATGGTGAACAACCACATTGCCATCTCATCCTACCGGGTACCCATTCCCTGCTCTCTCTTGCCCATGGAGACACCACATGTGCTTCATTGTGGGGCAGGATCGAAGTCTTAGAAGCTCCCAAGAGCCAAACGGGGGAAACTTGGTAACCCATATTGATAACAGGTTTATCTTTTTATCCTGATATTTTTAATAAACATCTTAGAAGCTCTCAAGAGCCAAAGGGGGGAAACGTGGTAACCCATATTGATAACAGGTTTATCTTTTTATCCTGATATTTTTAATAAACATCTTAGAAGCTCTCAAGAGCCAAAGGGGGGAAACGTGGTAACCCATATTGATAACAGGTTTATCTTTTTATCCTGATATTTTTAATAAACATCTTAGAAGCTCCCAAGAGCCAAAGGGGGGAAACGTGGTAACCCATATTGATAACAGGTTTATCTTTTTATCCTGATATTTTTAATAAACATCTTAGAAGCTCTCAAGAGCCAAAGGGGGGAAACGTGGTAACCCATATTGATAACAGGTTTATCTTTTTATCCTGATATTTTTAATAAACATCTTAGAAGCTCTCAAGAGCCAAAGGGGGGAAACGTGGTAACCCATATTGATAACAGGTTTATCTTTTTATCCTGATATTTTTAATAAACATCTTAGAAGCTCCCAAGAGCCAAAGGGGGGAAACGTGGTAACCCATATTGATAACAGGTTTATCTTTTTATCCTGATATTTTTAATAAACATCTTAGAAGCTCTCAAGAGCCAAAGGGGGGAAACGTGGTAACCCATATTGATAACAGGTTTATCTTTTTATCCTGATATTTTTAATAAACATCTTAGAAGCTCTCAAGAGCCAAAGGGGGGAAACGTGGTAACCCATATTGATAACAGGTTTATCTTTGTATCCTGATATTTTTAATAAACATCTCTATAGATCATCCCCGTGAAGATCCGGAGAAGAATGGGTCTTCAGCAACCCATGCTTGCTATAAAAGGCGATTGTGCTTGTAAGAGGCGACTAACGGGATCGGGTGGTCAGGCTTGCTGACTTGGTTGCTGCATGCCATCGTATCCCAATTGCGTGGATCGATGCTCATGATGTCAATCAGTGGTTTGTCTGGCCCAGACTCGATTATTTACAGACCGCCGTCATATTATTGCTGGAATATTGCTGAGCGCGGCGTGAAACCAAAAACAAGCAAACAAACTATAGATCTTTAGGTGAAATATCATGGCAGATAGCCGATACGTTTGTGAAAGACACGAAGAGTAAATTGTTAGATCACCAGGACAATAGCTCATTATTATGCAGGTCCATGAAATGGGACTTCATTTAGGTTTTGCTGGATTTTGACAGCCACTGCCGCCGCGGAGGTTATTTTTCTAATCACCACAACACACAGTGACATACGCTATTATTCTTTCATGGAATTCGTCCAAAGTACCCTTTGGAATGATTTGGCACATGCCATGAGAAGGTTAAAGGTCATGGTAACATAATATCAATAGTTTGCGGTTCATGTTGTCAAAACGTTTTAGTGCATTTATCATTAAACCTATGAGATCTTTGTGTGGAATCTAGCCTGTCTCATGGTCCCTGAACCATATTATTTTCACTTCCGACCAGCGATTATAGTAACGCTACAGCCCTATAACTGCCGAGTCTTTCGCAACCCATGCTTGTCGTAGCTACTAACGGGATCGGGTGGTCAGGCTCGCTGGCTCGCTTGTTGCATGTAATCCATGGGCGCACCCCTCCTTTTTATTTCGAAAAAAATCTTTATTTCTGTATAAATTACCACCAAAGACAATAAATAGATCTTAATTGTGCACCCCCCCCCCCCCCCCCTTTTGTAAAAAAGCTGTATCCGCCCATGTAATCGTACCCCAATTGCGTGGATTGATGCTTATGATGTCAATCACTGGATTGTGTTACGTGTGGATCCACTAAACAGTTTCATTACATAACAAGGAGAGATCACACAACAATTTAAAAATAATTTAATACTGGCAGTCTAATCAAGCTTCATATTATTCACAAACAGCGAAAGCAAGTATCAATCACAATAAAAACAGTCTTACTTCATGCTGTAATATCCAATCATTTCCGAACAAGATCCAGTGAATGTTTCATGTAATCCGTAATTCACCTTAGTTCACAAATTGCCGACATGGCATACACAATTAAAGTTTCAAATCTTGCCGACATGGCATGTCAGTTAACACATAAACCCGACCTGGGAACTGACCACTTTGTCTACCCGTCGAGCAATAGCCAAGCCACAATTGCATAACATCAGCCTTTACTTGGCTGTGAGCTTACCAGGGCTTACATATAGACAATGTGAAGTGAAGTGTGTAATTGGTCAGTGTTGATCACTGGCAATCTGTACACAAGTAACATAATATATAAAAAGGTATGAATATACATTTCATTTTGCAACTCTGAGTTTCACGCACCCATGGTATTGCGTACGATCATCAGGCATAATGAAACATGGTTTTTAGTTTGACCCTTTCTTTTTTGCTCGGCTTGGGGGTTTACCATTGCGACAGGTGGAAATGAGCTCGCTTCTTTTGTTTAGCTTGTTAGATGTTAGCATGAGAATCTCGAGCTTCTCTTCTCTACTTTGTATTGAGCACTCTCTTCTGCAATTGGATCATACTTGTGTGTGTGTGTGTGTTTTTAATATATTCTTCATGAAAACAAAGTACATTTAATATATTCTTCATGAAAAGTATATATATATATATATGTAATGGACTAACGTGGACTTTATTATTTTATTATTTTATTATATATATATATATATATATATATATATATATATATATATATATATATATATATATATTCTCATAACAATTGTCAGGTTCAGACTCGACCGTCATGTAGCAACATAATATATATAAAGGTATGAATATACATTTCATGAAAACAAAGTACATTTAATATATTCTTCATGAAAAGTATATATATATATAATGGATTCTCATAACAATTGTCAGGTTCAGACTCGACCGTCATATAGCTGGAATATTGCCGAGTGCGGCGTTAAACACCAAACAAAGAAACAAACATCACCTTAACAGTGTATAACTTTATTATCATTATATATTAGCTTAATTCATGGCGGTAATTTAAATAAAAAGTTTGGGGGCATTCGGGATAGGTGCTCTGCTATTTCGGTATAAGCACGAGCATGTTTCTCTCAAAATGTATCTTTTGTTAACGTCGAAAAACGACATGACAGATAAACTGAATTGAAATATTCCAGAGGAATGATATGGTCACTGTGGATGGGTCGGACACAGGCCTGTGGAATTTGTTTCTGTAATTTCTCATGAATCACCTAAGGCCACATTTGCAAATAAAAAACACGGACATGACTTTGTTAACAGCCAGGATTGACTGATGAGTCGCATAAACCACGTTGTGCTCATTAATGTCGGAAGACGAGGTCAAGGTAGGGGCGTTTCTCGCCATACTGGGGACGCGTTGTTCCATGCAGGGTTGGTTTCATGGTATAAAAAGTACCAAAACCTCAGATGTTTCTTAATCAGATGAAAAATACCAAGAAGAAAACCGAAACCTTTATATGATGATTACCAACACTATTTGTCTCATACATGTCAGAAAAATAAACTATTATTTTGCATTTTTTGAAAAAGGGTACGAATATCTTGAGAAGGAATCCTCAGTATGCCTCGATACTGATCATGAAACGTTCCA